ACATACATTTTAAATTAGCCTTTCATTACACTCTTAATAAAAGCAATTTTCAACACCCCTTAGATACTCCAGATTGTATATAATCTAAATAATTAAACATCTAAATTCTGTAATACATTATTATCAGGCTTTCTATTAGTGTGTTGTACTGTATTAAAGTAAATGTTGGTTGTGGAAATACACTATTATATTTATCCACGAACCATGAAACTGTGAATAAGACTCGGATCCTACATTTTGAAACGCAAAATTTTAAAACAGAAAACAAAAATTTAAAATTCAGTATGCAATATCATACAATATAATTAATTCACAGCTGCTGCTATTAGTCAGGTGTAGTCCATTAAATATTTTAATTGCAGTCATTCACCTACTGACAAGACAAAATGTCATGCAGTCATTCACACGGCATCTTGATTTTTATGAAGGTCGATAGTCCAAAGTACAAATCCTCATACAAGATATTTACCAGCGCTTTTGATACTACGTTTTTGAAAAAATCTGCATGTTACTGGCATAAATATGTAGTGTAAATAAGAGTCTTTGCCATTAATTTTATTCCCACAGAATCAGGAAAAGCAATGGCGATAATTTGTGACAGAATTTTCTATTTCAATTAATTAATATAATTTACAGATTTATTTTATTTATAAACAGAAGGAAAATGTTCAGAATGTTAGAAAAATAAAGATGAAAAGATAATGTCCCTGCTGCTTAATTAAATTTCATGCTGTGAAGACAACTACACTAAATAGTCAACTTTAAAACCCTTGTATTGTTTAGCAGAGAACTGAAAGTATCTCTCATTATGAGATTAAGATGACAGTGTCACCAACTTAAGCAAATTCATTACCAAGACCAAACTTATATTCAGAATTACATGCGAAAAGATGCATTAAAGGGGTGCAACATGTATGAAAATAAATCACAACTGATAAATAAATATATCTGGGAGGAATTCACTGTGACCCAATATTTTGGTCATCTGCTACAGAAACATATCAGTCTTCTTCGGTTCTCTTGGGTAATCATAATACCACAGCTGTAAACTTTTAATACACTTCCACAAAACCTATAATGATAAATAATTAAAAGCTTACATCAGTTGTTCTAAAACTGAAGTAACTAATTCTTACACAGAATCATCACTGTTGGAATTATCAAATAATGCCATTGAAACAAAAGAAGCATTGTTGAATTCAATACACATTTCTGAGACTTAAGGTTCTCACGGTGGTGAGTATGAAGTCTGGTAGAAGTTTACCGACACTTTACAGCTACGGCAGACGCAAAATAACTCCGAACATGGTTACAAGACACAGTGAGAGGGGACAATGCAAAGTGGTATTTGATACGCTGGATTTAACACTACATTGTATTTTATAAACCAAAGAAAATATAAAACACTAGTAATAGTGGCACATGCCTTAATATCCAATAGTATGCAAGGAAGGGCTGGGTTCTCTCGTCATATGTCCCACTGCTTCATATTCTTCCCCTCCCTCCCACATGTAACTGTAATGGTCATCTAAGCTCAGAGTTATCTTGTGTCCACTGTGCTGATGTTTACTTATCATCCTGATGATGGACGCAGCAGGCACCTCTGAAACTTCGATAAACTTTAACCTATCTACATGGTACATCTCAGGAGACAACCATCTTGAAGTGTACATCTGTCTGTCAGAGTCCTTCAATTATGGATCATTTAAATATGATATGCAATGGATACAATACAACTTCAGATCAGACTTCCAACAAGGAGCGTTTTTCTCTCTCCTGTTGCAGAGACAATAAGCACATGTGGATCTGCAATTTCTAGCAATACTAATTAACTTTTATTATCCGTGTGTTGCAGCTTACACATGAACCAGCTAGCCACGCCTGGCTGTGCACTGTGTTAGCGCACTTCTAAAACCATTAATCACAGAGACAACGTCCGGCCAGCACAGCCCCGTATAATATTATGGAGGGTTCTGTCTCCCGTTACCATACGATAAAAGTTAAGCTGTTAGTGATTCATACTTTTATATGACTGCCTTGGAATCTTATTTATTGCAGAGGCTTGCATGGTGCCACAGATATTCATCCAGTTTCACTCCAGACAGCAAATCAGCACAGCCGACTGATACGTAAAATACGTTCCCTCGTTTATAATACACTTACTTCCCACCATTTGATTTGTAACTTATATTACCTATTTCAGAAGTTAATATATTTTGATACACTTAAAATATGTCTATGTTACCAGTATTTCATAAATATTAATTATATTACTAATTATGTCCATGTTTATTATAAAATAGGTATTAAACTGCCTCATCTATCTACATACCCTGAAAATGGGTACCAACAAAAGCTCGTCTAATAAAAGGAAGACCCGCTTGATAAAAAGTCGTCTTTACTGTATTCATCTAATCACTGACTGGCTGACTTCAAAGTAACTCAGTCTTTAAGGAGAATTATAGACAACACTGTAAAACACTCATGCTATAAACATAAGACTATAGTTACACAGTATTCACATTTCTTGAAATATATTATTTGTGCCTAGAATGGCTATGCTGGTATATGAATTTCTGATAGTTTTAATATACACATTCCATCAATGCTGATCTTCTGAATACGCTGCAAAGCAATTCAAGCGGCTTCTTCAAACGCCAGTGCGACTCTTCGTTTTGCAGCAATGTGGTTAATGTCTGACACACACTCTCTCAAGCTCAGCTGTTTTATGAAGAACGGTGGTGACGCCTATTACGTCGACATTGAGGGCAGCACTCATCACCAGCTGCGGTCAATTGCGAAGTGTTTCGTCTTCGTGAGGACATAAAAGCGCTTGTGTCAGGTATGCAGGATGACCGAGGACATCTTTTACGTTCACACTTTATTGTACCATCCTTAAAGCAGTAAGAAATCCAGTTGTTATATTGGAGCTTGTGAAAATATTTCAATATGCAGCAAAACACAAATATATATACAACTTTTTTTGCATTGTTTTCTGGTGGAATGCAGAATGGAACTGATTTAGCAGTTTTGTGACATATTATTGCTCCCTTTGCAAACTCTGTAAGACACAGTAAAATTACTAATGTCCTAACAAAATTACAAAGCTGTGCAGAAGAAGAAAATCACAAAAAAAGTAATTTTACATTTTGTACATATCAGCTAGTATTGTCTGGATGAGATGGGAAAATCATGCAGCATGCAAGAAAGGCACGACAATTTTTTGGTTGGAAAACTTCATAGGGAGCAACCTTTAGAGATGCAGACACAGATTAGAGTATGTTATTAAAGCAGATAAACAGATGATGGAGATAAGAACTGGGTTAAAATATTATGTGGGTTCAGTTCCTAAACATCAGCCACATCACTATTTCAACACTCTGAGGTCTGTTAATACATAAACGTCCTTCACAATATTCATCGTAAGACTACCACCGAAAAACTATGTCCTTGTAAACACAATCTCTTTATGAATTTTAAAATTATTATCAACAATGGATGTACCTTTTTCATCAACTAAGCCATTTTATATATTGTTGTTATTAATACTTTACGAGGTGTACTATTCTCCATGTCAGCGGCATGTGATGTCACAAATACTGAAATTAAACTGAGCATAAAAAATGGACACAGGAAATTTCCTTATGTCCCCAAGGACTTGACCTTTTAAAACTAGTGGTATCAATATGTACCATCTGATTTAACATTAAATTACTCTACATTTTGCCCACAGACTGTAGTTATGGGATTTCAAAATAAACAGCAGTCATTTCCTTATGCTGGATTAACCTTTATCATGTGTGTGCCACACCTTACACACATTCAGCTGGCTGTGCATCACATTAGTGTACAGCTAAGCCAGTAACTATGGAGCTGGCAGCCTTGTTCTGTGTGGATCAAAATCCTCTGTTCCTGTATGATAAAGGTTATTCACTAGGAACCAGATTCTTATGTTAATTAGATGAGCTTCAGCTTTAAAGTATTAATTACGGGCTTAGTTCAATCAGGAGTCGCCCTCAGTGGATTAGTGGTTAGCGTGTTCGCCACTGGACCCAAGGTTCACGGGTTCAAACCCGGCCAAGGTCTCTCCTGATTCACTGCTAGATGGCTCTAGGAGACAAATCAAGATTGAGTTGAAATTGTGCAGAGGCAGCGGGCTTGTCACTCACTACTCACAGATGCACACTTCGAAGACAAAGAAACCTCCCACATGGGAGGAGGACAAGGCTCGGCTTCGAACTGTTGCGCCATAGAGTCAGTCAGTTCAATAAGGATTCCAATAACTATGGTATTTTGTAACAGCGACAACAAGCTTGTGACTGGAAGAAGTGAGAAAAATAAGCGGAAGATTAACTTACCTTGCATCTGCATGTAACACATTTTACTTCCCCGTGTGAATGGACTCTTGGGTGCCACTCATGTCCATTTTCAAAAATGTCTCCTGTAGCGTGATACTTGCAGCCTCCACTTGCCAGAATATCCTCATCTGTACGATGAGTGAGTGTACCATTTGGGTTCTGCTCATCCATTGCCAACTGAGTGTCGCCTACCGTTAAGACAGGACACTGTTTACAGCATGCTTTCTTATCTGGACGGAAGGCTTCATGTTCTTTGCAGGTTAGGGGAGGACACTGCACTCGTGGACAGTGTACTTCCAGAGTATTAGCCTGTCATAAAAAAGAAAAACTGAATTAAATATAATCATATGCTTTTAATCTATATAGAACTTATTTGTAAATGTAAAATTATGTACACTCATGTGAGACGTGATAAGGTGGATCAGTGCCGTGGTCAAAGTTCACACATTTCAATGATCAAAATAGGTTGCAGAAAGACGGTGTTTGTTAACTGGGGGTCCATACTATGAAGCCTGGTGGTGGACAGATTCCTTGCACAGCCGAACGTCCGTACTCATAGGGCTGCGCTGATGACTTTGCCTTGTTGAAAATTGGAAAATCCCGAAGTACTCTCAGAATTCATGCAAAGGGCTCTGAGCATAGTACTGTTTGGTGCAGGACTGTGGAACTCTCATTCCTCATGAGACGAAACTTGTGCTCTTCACCAAGAGGAAAGAAGAGAACAGTTTGTAGAACTTGTTCTTCTAAATAGGATTCTACATCCCATAACTTAGTGAAGTATCCTGGTAGCAGATCAGATCCTTGCCTGACATTTGCAGTCAGACTTCATTTCTCACTAGAGTCAGGACAAAATGATACCAACAGTTGCTTCTGGACTGTCCTTAAAGTGAAAATCCTGTAATGTGAACATTCGTTATTGATTTGACCTATGGTCCTTTAGTCTGAGGTGCTAGTCTAGTATACAAGGGGCAGTCAAAAAGTTCCCGGAAATGTGGTATAGCACTGTAATGGTAGGACATATGGCAACGCTTACCGAATCACCTTCAAAGAAGGACCCTTGAACACACACACACTTGCTCCATCGATCCTGCCATTGTTGGAAGTACCGGCGGAAGGCTTCGTTTGGAATTTTCCGGAGTTTGGCCGTCACATTCCACACATCGGTGGTTGTGCAGCAATTCCTCGATGAGAAAAGCATTCCCGTCATCACCCAACCACCATACTCTCCGGATCTCGCTCCAAGTGACTTCTGGCTGTTCCCTACTCTGAAAATGGGCCTCAAGGGGACACGTTTTGCAACCATGGAGGACATCAAATCGAATGCGACAGCCAAACTCCGGAAGATTCCAAACAAAGCCTTCCGCCGGTGCTTCCAACAATGGCAGGATCGATGGAGCAAGTGTGTGTGTGTTCAAGGGTCCTTCTTTGAAGGTGATTCGGTAAGCGTTGCCATATGTCCTACCATTACAGTGCTATACCACAATTCCAGGAACTTTTTTGACTGCCCCTCGTAAGCTGGGACACAAGGGGTTAACACTGCAAAGCGTAAAACGTGAATCATACATCACAAGTGCAGACTGCGCAGAGTTCAAAGCCACTGGGAGGCAAATAGGGATGCCAGCTCTTGCCGGCTGCATAGAACTGTCCTGCCAGGTAGCAACCTCGTGTCACGCTTGTGTTACTCTCCTGCGGAGCACTTGAATCTGTAACAACAATACAACGCTGATTGTTATAATGTAGCAGAATTACCCTTAAGCAGTCAGCCATTAAAATGTTATATCTATTTTTACATAACTTCAAAGTATGCTGAACAGACTTCAGGCACAGAATCTCTGTCTGAGATTCAGTGTCGTGTGCTGAGACGATGGTCAAAACCGAGTCACTGAAGCAACATAATTATTCACCTTTTGTGAAAAAATTCATTTATACCAACGTTACAGAGGTTCTTGCTGTCTCCTTCATCATTTCCGTGATGATGGAGGTAGAAAGACTTCTGAAAAGTTAGTAAACTTCTACCAGACTACCTGACGTGCTACAACCCAGAAGATAGCCATCCTTGTACTGACCACCATGAGAACCTCAAATCCTTAAATTCAACTAGAAAGTACTTTATAATGAAACAAAAGACATTTGATGTGAAGTTCTGACTGAATCTGTAAGTCAGATTGTAGCTCCTGCTACGTTTTTTAAAATATCTTCTGTAATGATGGGATGCCGTGGCATCTTAAATACATTCTGTGAGACAGTCAACAGGTTACCATTTTGGAGCATAAAAGAACTGTAAAAAGAGTGACAGAATTTAAAATCTCCCATTGAAGGCTATTATATACATCACTACATGCTGAAGGTATGAAGTCTGATAAGTTTGAAAAGGTTTTAAAACATAAACACAAAATAAGCGTGTTCTTAGCAATTCTTCTAAATCAGTCAAAATAATCTGAAATCCCCAAATTAGACCAGTTTGGTTTCATACTTGGAATGACAATGATGGTGGTTAGGATTATATTAACATATACAGTGAAACCTTTATCCATCGTTCCCCGAACAATCTTTTTTCTGTTTTGTCCAAGTTTTGCCGAAGCACATGCTGGATCGACATAAAAGTGAAATCGTTCTTCCATGCGCAGAATATTGGTGAAGGTGATGGGGATGGAAAGCATTTTGAACATGGAAAGGGCTCTGTTTGGCCAAAACGTAAAGTTTAGACAAAACAGTTGTTCATTAAAGAATTTGTTCTTTACAAAAAGGGAGTAACTTTGAAACAGGTTTTATGTGTATGCCAAAAAGAAAAATGCACAATTTTAATTTTGTTTCTAATTTTTAATGCTTCCCCGCAACTGTCGGTTTCCCACGCTTTTATTTCTCTCTCCCGTCAAAAACGATGCATCGAGGTTTCATTGTATTAATATTACAGTAGGGCACCGCTTATACGGCAGGTTAGGGACCAGACCCCCGCCGCAAAGCGAAAATCGCCGAAAAGCGGATCTTTGCCTTTTCTCACTTGCAAATGCATATCAAAGCCTAATAAGATGTTTACACTATCATATAGTAAGTGCACAATA